GCACCGCGTCTTCCCTCGCTGGAAGCGACACATCTCGGAGGAGCTGAGGCGTGGGACCGGCTGCAGAGGCAGGCATTGAAGAGATCATCTGCAGTGTGAGCACCGAGCGGGCCCCGGGAGCGGGCGGGCTGACCCCGCGCAGGCACGCGGGGCGCCAGCGGGAACCCGAGGCCGAGCCCCGGCGCCGCCCGCGCGCCTTGCGGCTGCCCCGGGTATCAAGTGCCTTGGACGCCTCACGCCTTTTTATTACCTTTTCCTCTTCCCACTTTATTCTTGGGTATGACCGTGGAGGGTTTCCCCACTGAATTGGGCATTCTTCATGGGCAGGCACCGTTTACGTTTGTATTTGTAAATCCCAGCAGCTTACACAATGCTTGTGTACTTAAACAGTTAGGTTCCAGAAACATCTTGTTACTGGAAATGGCATTACTGGAATGGGTGCTGACTTTAAGCATTACCACGCGTCATTAACGTCGTCTTCTGAGTGTAAGGAAAGGTTTGCTTTTCATTCTTCAAACCTGTTCTTACTCCGCCTTGGTGTTCTTTGACCATTACACATTTTAGTCTTAACATACTTTTCAGTTAGGACGTCATAGTCTTTACTGTTATTGAAAACTTTGGTATGAAAGAGGTGGCCCACACCCACCTCCAATTAGATGCCTCCTAATGAGCATTTCCTTGCCCCCCACCCATCCCAGTTTACCGTAACTGATGACACATTTGGGGAAAGAAACGGGCACTCTTCGGACCTGTGGTTCCGTTTACCCCTTGAAGTAAGCAGTTTCTCAAGTTATGCCAACGGTAAGATGCAAAGCAATAGTAATTGCCCTTAATTGAATTCTGGTTGGCTAAATCAGTGACTTCTCAACTTCCTTGCACGTTAGAATCAGGTGAATCTTTTAAAAGTTGCAAAGGCCAGGCCACACGCCAGACCAGCTAAACTACGGTATTAGGGGTGGGGCACAGGTGTGAGTATTTTTTTGATATTATCCAAGTAATTCTAATGTGCAAACAAGTTTGAGTGGTGTAAATATTTGCCATCTGTCGTTTCACTTTATTTTTCCGAAAATTCTATGAAGCAGGTCCTATTGTTGCCCTTTTTACAAATGAGGAAACTGAGGCTGAAGGAGATTAGGTCATTTCTCCGGGGAGGCACAGCTGAGTAATGTTGGGGCCTGGGCTGGGATACAGACATTCAGGCTCTTAATGCCTGCATTTTGCATTTGCTTTTCTTGCTGGGTTCCCCCAGGGAATGGCCTTCCTTGCTTTCGCTGAGCCCATCCTCTTAACTAAGATGAGAAGAAAAGGGAGATGATGTGCTGCTGCTGTGCTAATTCCTTACACTTGGAGAGGCCTGGCAGATGGGTGCTATTTCAGAAAGTACAGGAAACTCCCGTCCTGGCTTCCTTACGTGTTTCCCCCATGTGTTACATAAATTTAAGTCATCGGGTGTTCTGTCAAATGCTTATTCTTTAAAAGCTAATACACTTCAGAAGTCAAGTTTGGGTTGGAGGTCTGACTCTACTCCCCTTACTGACGTTTTCATCTACTTTTTGGGAGGAGGGGAATTAGGTTGGTTTCTTTTTAGAGGTACTGGGGATTGAACCCGTGACCGCGTGCATGCTAAGCATGTGCTCTTCCCTCCCCCCTTTACTTACCTTTTGAGTCTGGTTTGCTGCATCTATAAAATGGAAGTGAAGCTTGCCTTGCCTGCCTCATAAATACAGTGCTGTGCATACTAGTGCTTTGAAAGCCATCTATGTAATTGTCTATAAACGGGAGGTGCTTGACACAATTGAATGTTTTTCTGCACTTTGAAAATAGACATCTTGAAGCGCGGAAGTGGAGGAAGTAGGAGAAAAGTCAGAAGGACAGATCCTTCCTGGAGAAGGAACGCACCTTAAAACAGCTGTAGTGAGTGACATGTGCCCGAGGGGCAGGGGAGCAAGACAGCCTTTGCCTGGTAACATAGTCTTTTAGGCTCAGGGATCGGCATTTGGGAGGTCACTTCTAATGTGACTGTGGAACATCCCCACTGTTCATTCCCTGCTTCCCAGGGAGTCCAATTCTGACCCTCCATCAACCCACGATCTCCTGTTCAGTCCCTGCCTCTGAGCCTGAAGAGATAGATGAAAAGAGGCCATGGGGACAGCGGGCAGCTCCCTCTCCACCCTTCTCTTCAGTGAGAGGAACTTTGAGGAAGGATTCCTTTTGAATACGTCCTGCCCTTTGAAAGACCTGCTGTCTATCCCAGGGCACCCTGCTGTAACATTTTGAATCTCTTATTAGAGCCTTTGGACACTGATGAATATTCATGGTTGGAACCACTGCCCTGTTCTGTTCAGCTAATTTATTAATATAGATGAGGCAGTGTTTCTGTTTCTGCCCAGGATTCCCATTTGCAGACGTCAGGAAGTAGGACTGAGCTCTTCAAGTGGAGAGAGATGCTCTTCTAACAGGGATAGTCACTAGCATAGGCCCTATCCAGCCTTTGTTCTAGAGCAGTTCTAATCTCAGATGTTTAGGATTTGTGGGAAAACCCCATCAAATGTAGGTTTCTACAAGTTTCCCGTGGTCACTTTCTTGTTCTGCTGAGTGCACCCCCTTCCACTTCTAATCTTGCTGGCCCCCTGTGTGCCTGTCATTCCTAGCTCCCTGTCATATCTAGCCCTGACTTCTCTTTTATGTTCCTGCAGTGTGTTCCCTGTCATGCTCACTAGATTCAGAGAACTCATTTTCTTCCTTAAGCTCGTCGCCCCTATGTGTTCTCCAGCATGTTAGCATCTTGCACCCAGTTGGCCAAGCTGGGAACCTCAGAATAACCTTTTGACTTCTAATTAATATCTGTTCATGTCACTGCCTGCTTTTAAAATCTGTTGTTTCACCATTGTCAGTAAGAAAAGGTCTGAATTGTCTGCCCTTTCGTGTGTTGGCTCTAACTTTTATTTCTAACCACTTACTAGACAGCTCTCTCTAGTCCTTCTGCTGGGACTGCTGTTTTCACCTGTGAAACCGTCTGAGGAAATGAGTAAAAACTCTCCTCTTGCTTTTTTAACTTGACCCCCACCCCACCCCCATATTACACTTGAGGTCAGGGACTCTGGTTTGTATTTGTATCCCTAGTGCTCTGATCTGAAACTTCAGAATTTCCAAATTCTCCTACATTACTTAGAAGTGCATAGTACTTCATTTTTCCATTGTGTTTTGATGTTTGTTTCCTGTTCCCCAGGTAGAAACAAGTAGCTGTGGGAGAAGAAAATGTGTGTGTGGGTGGGTATATTTGGAGGGATTTTCCATAGGTTCTTTGGCTAGGCTGCCTAGGCCAAGAAACGTCTAAGTGTGTGTGTTCCTGGATTTTGGACGATTGCTATTATCGGTGACAAAGGGCAGTGCCTGGTACTTTGACACCTAATAAAAGTGAAACCGACCCAGTCATCTTCTGGTTGTTTTTTAATCTAAATCTTTGTAAGTTATTAAGTAGTAATTAAGTATATATACATCATAATAAATATCTTTTTTTCCTTTGGTAGATAACAAGTTGCTGGAAAAGTCGGATCTTCATTCGGTGCTGGCCCATAAGCTACAAGCTGAAAAGCACGACGTACCAAACAGGCACGAGATAAGGTATTTTGGAGCTGTCGTGGGTCATTTGCGTCCCCTCCTGAACTGAAATGTCTGAGTTCAGTTGTCACTACTCTGATTTTGAAACAAATCAAGTACTGTCTCTGTGCTCCAGTTTTTGCCAGCTCCTTTCAAATAAGAGCTTCTGAAGCCAAATAACTAAAACCATTTTTTTGTGAAGGTATGTACCTACCCACCTAGACAGCTCATCATCAGTGAGATGTGAGCTTGAGAAACTGCTGAAGGTGAGCAGCCCCTCCCAGCCTGCTAGGCTTCGCTTTTTCTTTCTTTATATTTTTTGGGGGGGAGTGGTGAGGGGGGAGGTAATTAGGTTAATTTATTTTTTTGATGGAGCTACTGGGGCTTGAATCCAGGACCCAGGCACTCTACCGCTGAATGTTACCTGCTCCCCTTCTTCTAAATAATCAGACAAGTAAGCATTCTTGAGCAGATTTACATAGATCTTGCTAATACCGGACTGACTGGTCTGTAAACATAAGTTGCTTTTTATACAATACAGGTCTGTTTGATCTTTTTTAATTCAATGTGTTTCAACATATTTTGGTATGCAGTCGAAGTAGCATGTTGTGAAAAGCTTTTTTTTTTTAAAGAAAGATGGGGGAAATCTGCATTTTAATAGGAAGGAGGTAAGTATTGCTTCATTAAATATCCAAGTATTTGTTCATGGTGGGGTTTGTTTACTTGGGTCCTTCATGTAAACTCTCTTTTTGAGATTTCAGGGTCTAAAAACACCTAAAAGCCATACTTCTTAGAGCAGCTTAAATGGAATCCTTCTAGAGTCTTGTCCTTTCCCATTTGTTCATCACGTTTGCATATTTGGTGGTTTCTGTGGAAACAGTACCCATTATTGCTCTAAAATCTACAATTTTTTTAACATTTTTATTGATTTATAATCATTTTACAATGTTGTGTCAAATTCCAGTGTTCATCACAATTTTTCAGTCATTCATGGACATATACACACTCATTGTCACATTTTTTTCTCTGTGATTTATCATAACATTTTAAAATCTACAATTTTTTGAATATCAGTTAACATTTAGCAGCTAAAAACAAAATTTATAGTAATTTAGGATTTTAAGGGAAAAAAACCAGAAATGCTAGGTGTAGCTTAGCAG